CCTGGAGCCACATGGGGGTCCCGAAACATGGAGAGCCAGGATGTTGGACGTGGTGCTGGAAAACCTCATGCCCAACATGTTAAGGGGCACTACCAGAGTGAGAGGGAGGATGAACCAGCAAGATTGGACCTTGTGTTCACCCTGGGCAGCTCCGATATTGAGGACATCAAGTATGAGAGTCCCCTAGGAGCTAGCGACCACGTGGTTCTGTGCTTTGAATACATAGTAGAATGCAAGTGGAGAGAATAACAGGAGTTGAATGGGAAAAGCCTGACTATAAAAGAGGGGACTACATAGGGTTGAAGAACTTCCTGCGGGAGGCCCAGTGGGACAGTGTAACTGGCAGGAAAGCCAGTAAATGAAATGAGGGAAATTATGTAACAACAAAATGAAAGGAGCAGTGGAAAGGTTTATTCCCAAGGGCAACAGAAAACAACGGGAAGACAGAACGAGCCCCTGGTTTACCCGACGGTGTAAGGAGGCAAAAACAAAATGCAATAGAGAAGGGAAAAAAAGTACAGAAGGCAGAGAACACCGAAAATAGGGAGATCAGTCGCAGAGCCAGGAATGAGTACGCACAGGTAAGGAGGGAGGCCCAGCGACAGTATTTAAAATGACATAGCATCGAGATCAAGACTGACCCGAACTGTTGTATAGCCACATCAGGAGGAAGCACAACAGTCAAAGACCAGGTGATCAGATTAGGACAGAAGGTGGAGAACTCACAAGAAATGTCAGGAGGTATGTGAGGAGCTGAACCCGGAGATTTAAGGAAGTTTTTACAGTAGAGACAGGGAAAGGGGTGTGGGGAAAACAGCACAGAAGGGAACATCAAGAGGGAATATACAACAAGTGTTGGATGAATTGAACAACTGAGGAGGAGGTGAAGAAGCTCTTAAGTGACCTTGACACCTCAAAGGCGATGGGGGCCGGACAACATCTCCCCATGGGTCCTTAGAGAAGGAGCAGAGATGCTGTGCGTGCCTCTAACCACAATCTTCAACACATCCCCTTTAAACTGGGCAACTACCTGAGAAATGGAAGACAGCTAATGTAGTCCCCAAAATTTAAGAAAGGAAACAGAAACGAGGCACTAAACTACAGACCTGTGTCTCTGACATGTATTGTGTGCAAAGTCATGGAGAAGATTTATCGGAGGAGAGTGGTCGAACACCTGGAAAGGAACAAGATTATAAATGAAAACCAGCATGGGTTCATGGAAGGCAAATCTTGTATCAAAAAACCTCCTGGAGTTTTATGACAAGGTAACAAAAAGAAAGACACGGGAGGGAGGGTGGGTAGATTGCGTTTTCCTAGACTGCAGGAAGGCCTTTGACACAGTTCCCCACAAGAGATTAGTGCAGAAGCTGGAGGATAAAGGCGCACGAAAAAGGAGGCCACTGCAATGGATCAAGGGAATACCTGACAGGGAGGCAGAAACGAGTCATGGTACGTGAAGAGGTATCACAGTGGGCGCCTGTTACGAGTGGGGTCCCACAGGGGTCGTTTCTAGGACCAGTGCTATTTTTTATATATGTGAACGACATGGGGAAGGAATAGACTCTGAAGTGTCCTGTTCGCAGTTGACGTGAAGTTGATGAGAAGAATTAAATCGGGGCGAGGATGAGGCAGGACTGCAAAAAGACCTGGACAGGCTGGACATGTGGTCCAGCAACTGGCTTCTCGAATTCATCCAGCAAATGCAAAGTCATGAAGATTGGGAGGGGGCAAAGAAGATTGCAGACGAGTATAGGCTAGGTGGACAAAGACTACAGGACCTCACTCAGGGAGAAAGACCTTGGGGTGACCATAACACCGAGCACATCACCGGAGGCACACATCAACCAAAATAACCGCTGCGCATACGGCGCCTGGCAAACCTGAGAATAGCGTTCCGATACCTTAATAAGGAATCGTTTTAAGACACTGTACACTGTGTATGTTAGGCCCATACTGGAGTATGCAGCACCATCTGGAACCACCCATGGTCAAGCACGTCAAGAAGTTAGAGAAAGTACAAAGGTTTGCAACAAGGCTAGTCCCAGAGCTCAAGGGAATTGTCATACGAGGAAAGGTTAAGGGAAATGGGCTGACGAACTTGGAGGACAGAAGGGTCAGGGGAGACTGATAACGACATACAAGATTTCTGCGGGGAATAGACAAGGTGGACAGAGATAGGATGTTCCAGAGAGGGGACACAGGGACAAGGGGTCAAATGGAAGCTGAAGGACTCAGACGAGTCCAGGGACGTTAGGAAGTATTTCTTCAGTCATAGAGTTGTCAGAAAAGGGAATCCCTTTAGCAAGTAAAGTAGGGGGAGGCGGGAAACCCATACTAGTTTTAAAGGGGAAGAGGTATGAAAAAAGTCGGGAAGCAGAGAGAGGGGAGGATCCAGTAGCAAATCGGAAGGGGGGGCCCAAGGAGCGGGTCTCGACCCCTGCAACCACAATTAGGTGAGTACAATTAGGTGAGTACCCCACACACAGTGGACCCCCCCCTAAAAATCACCCCCCCAATGGGGCCCAATTATGTAAGTGTATTTATTTAAGTGAATTTTTTCGTGTATTTTTGGGGGGTCTAAAAAGGACTAATCTATTCCCCAATTTTCCCTTTTAGGGGAAACCCAAAATTCAGTCATTTACTGGCACCTGAACATACTTCTGGAATAAAAAAATATTGTTAACCGGGGGTCCACTGTTATATTTTATATTTTATATATAAAATATATACCCAGGGAGGTACTACCTTTCCTTTCCCAAAGTGGGGGTTTTAAAAAAAAGCCTGTAATTGTTTTACATTTATGGTGGATTGTGGGGTCCTTTTTTCTTTTCTCAAGAACATGCAAGATTTTAGGTACGTCTTGCTACTTCTAAATTACACTTTTGGTCCCCACTAAACATTTCATGTACAAGCAATATATACACACCCCTCTGGGTTTTTTTTTTTTTCTTTCTTGTTCTTATTCTTGGGTTTTTTTTCCTCTTATTTTCCATGGGGGAAGTGGAAAAGAAAATTTTTCCTCCCTAAGCCATTTCGTGTTGTAAGAGGCCCTAAAATGCCCGGGGGCAAGGGGGTAGTAACCCCCTTTTTCTTGTATTTTATTACTAAATTTTAAAAAGGGGAAACTTTTGTTTTTCCCCTTTTGGGGGCCCCCCCGCCTCGGTGGGATACAAACGGTTTTGTTGAAAAAAAATATTTTTTTTATAAAATATTATATATTATATATATTATATATAAATTTTATATTATTATAATATTTTATATATTTTATATATTTTTATATATATAATATATATTTTTTTTTTTTTTTTTAAAAATTAAGGGTGTAAATGTTTCAGCACTGAAATAAGGGTTTAAATGGGTTTGTGCAGTGGGGAAGTTTTCCCCAAGTGAAGGGGTTTAAAAAAAAGGGGTTGGTTTCCTGAAAGGGGAAATTTTTCAAAGTGATCCTGTATGTTTGGGTTTTCTGTTACAGGGGTTCAAAATACAAATGCTATTTTTTTTTTTTGTGTTTTGTGTGCTTGGGGGGGGGTTTGGGGGTGGGGGGTGTGGGGGGGGGTGTGGGGGGGGGTGGGGGTTGGTGGTGGGGGGGAGTGTGTGGGTGGGAGAGGTTTTGTGTGTTTGTGTTGTGTGGGTGGGTGTGGGTGATGTTTTGGGTTTTGTGTGTGTGTGTTTGTGTGTGTTTTTGTACCGGGCCCATTTGGGGGTTTCAGGGGTCGAGCCCTAGCTCCTGGCCCGGGCCCCCTTCACTGATTGCTACTAGATCTCTGCTCCATGAGCTTCATCAAACCTCGTCTTAAAACTATGTATGGTTCCCGCCTCCACTACGTCACTTTCTGTGTCCCATCTCTGGAACACCCTGTCTTTGTCCACCTTGTCTATTCCACACAGTACTTTATATGTCATTATCGTGTCTCCTCTGACCCTCCTGTCATCCAGTGTTGTCAGGCCAGTTTCCCTTAACCTTTCTTTGTAGGACAATCCCCTTAGCTCTGGGACTAGTCTTGCACTTTCTCTAATTTCTTGACATGCTTGACCAGGTAGGTTGTGTGTGTGTGTGTGTGTGTGTGTGTGTGTGTGTGTGTGTGTGTGTGTGTGTGTGTGTGTGTGTGTGCACGTGTGTGTGTGTGTGTATGCGTGCGTGTGCGTGCGCACGTGTGCACACACACGTGCTCACCTAATTGTACCCACCTAATTGTAGTTGCAGGGGTCGAGACTCAGCCCCTGGCCCCCCGCCTCTTCACTGAACACTACTAGGTCCTCTCTCTCCCTGCTCCATGAGCTTTATCATACCTCGGCTTAAAGCTATGTATGGTACTTGGGTGTGTGTGTGTGTGTGTGTTTTCACCTAGTTGTGGTTGCAGGGGTTGAGTCACAGCTCCTGGCCCCGCCTCTTCAACCGGCTGCTACTCAGTCACTCTTCCCGCTCTGTGATCTTTATCATACCTTTTCTTAAAGCTATGTATGGATCCTGCCTCCACTACATCACTTCCCAGGCTATTCCACTTCCTGACAGCTCTGTGACTGAAGAAATACTTCCTAACATCCCTGCGATTCATCTGAGTCTTCCAACTGTGACCCCTTGGTGCTGTGTCCCATCTCTGGAACATCCTGTCTCTGTCCACCTTGTCAGTTCCTCTCGGTATTTTATATGTCGTTATCATATCTCCCCTATCTCTCCTATTCTCCAGTGTCGTCAGTTTGATTTCCCTTAATCTCTCCTTGTAGGGCATGCCCCTTAGCTCCAGGACTAGTCTTGTTGCAAACCTTTGCACTTTCTCTAGTTTCCTTATGTGCTTGGCTAAGCGTGGGTTCCAAACTGGTGCTGCATACTCGAATATAAGCCTAACATACACAGTGTACAGGGTTCTGTGTGTGTGTGTGTAAGAGAGAGAGAGAGAGAGAGAGAGAGAGAGAATATAATACTGTTCTGTATATACATATATTAGCTATCTTGTTAAAAATTTTGTATAGCAGTGTTTAATTTCCTACTGTACCAGATGAAAGGGAAGAAATGGAAAACGAGGAGCAAGACAAATCTAAGTATCAAGAATGACATGGATAAGATTCTGTCTGATCCACGATTTGCTCATGTATCTTCTGATCTTAAACTACGACACATACCAAAAGAGAAGCGGAAAGTTAAACTTGACAGTCGTTTTCATTCAGTTCTGACGGTGAGTAGTATTTGGTCCAGGTAGCTGTAATTAGAAATGCATGGACTTGTTAGCTACTTTCAAGCTGCATTAGTTGGCAAAAATATGAAGACTGAAAGCATTGATGAGTACCTAAATCATATTTTTGATCTTGAAAATTCTGTACAATATACATAACATGTTGATATAATTTCTACCAAATCATTATTGACTATTATTGCTTATTAACCCTTAAACAGTCCAAACGTATATATACGTTCACTCACGCAGCGCCCCGAATATTTAAAAAAAAAATAAATCTTTTTTTTTATAAAAAAAAGAACATTTTTTGACATGTTTTAGAATAAAATTATTTACGTTGATGGTTCTGTTCACCAGTCCACTGGTGCAGCTGGTAGTGCTGCTGTTGTCACACAGAGTGATGGCTCTCATAAAGAAATTGGAGCATGCATCAATAACTGGGCCTCTACCCTTCAAACAGAACTGTTTGCCATACTCCTTGCACTCAAATGTGTCCATGTATCTAAGGTTGACACTTTAATTGTAACTGATTCTCTGTCATCCATAAATGCTCTCAACTCATTAAGTATAAATTGTGGCATGCTTGTGTCAGAAGCCAGACACAGGTATGGTAAGATTGTGGACAGTGGAGTCAGAGTGTACATGCTGTGGATTCCATCTCACATTGGTCTTCAGATGCATGATAGAATTGATAAATTGGCTAAGCTGTATGCTTTCAAAGAGGGAGTAGATTACAATCTTGGGTTGTCAGTTAGCAGTTTGAGAACAATAATACGAAAAGAACTTCAAATGAACTTTATTGACTTAAGACTTAGGGAGATTGACACAAGTCAGTCCATCTATCATCATTCCATCATGCAGGAGGAGCCACATGTCTATGGTGCATCGATAAGCAGACTCTTGGATGTCACTACTGCCTGGCTCCGGCTGGGTTACAAATATCTATGGCAGGTTAAATCACCACCACCAGATGTAGACCAAACGAAATGTAAACTTTGCCAGATGGACTATTGTCACACCTTGCATCATTATGTACTGGAGTGTGACCAGATTAATGAATTTAGAAACAACTCACTCAGAAATGTTCAAGAAATGGCAAAGTATTTTATCCACAGTGGTATATTACAGACCATTCTGGAGAAATACCCTGACTTTGCTAGCTGTAAATAATGCATTACCATGTGTGTGTGTGTGTGTGTGTGTGTGTGTGTGTGTGTGTGTATGTGTCTCAACAGTCAATATTTGCACCAATAACTCATTACAGTTGTGACCGGGTGTGGAAGTGTGAATTGCTCATTACACTATAATTTGTTCATGATTGTAGCCATGTATAAACGTAAGTAACCATTCTTACAGAATTCATTACCTTTGTAACTTGTGAGCTCATTACCTTTGTACCTAGTTCAGCTATCAAAACTTTGGGGGCCCAGTCCCTGGACCCATTACGTACCTCTGTAATCTGTAAATACCTTTGTAACTTGTCATGATTGTGACCAGACCTACCTGGAGTTCATTACCTTTGTAAATTGTGAGTTCATTACCTTTGTAAATTGTGAGTTCATTACCTCTGTAACTTGCTCAGCTATCAAAACTTTGGAGTCCAGTCCCTGGACCAATTATGTACCTCTGTAATCTTTTGACTACCGCCCACAGGATGGGTATGGGGTGCATAATAAACATATTAAACTAACTGGCGCTACGCGTAAGAACATATACTATATGCGTTTGGACCGTTTAAGGGTTAACAGTAGTTTTCATTTATTTAAAAAAATATAGTAATCTTATACCAATGTTTTTGTTTTATTTACTCTTCACTGACTCGTAAAAGCCTGTATATACCATCTCTGTATACAATAGTAACAAATTATGATGTACAATACATGTGTGTGTTGTGCAACTAATATAATATTTGCCAGCAGTCAATAGTGTTTTTGATTTTAGCATCATTATTTATTGAGTATAATCAATATGCTCTCTATATTGGGGCTGTATCTTACAAATTATTGTTATTTATTGTTGAATCTACTGTATATAAATTAATCAGTTTTAGTGGCCACAAATATTGCTTTGGGAAAGCAGTATGTAAAAATACTGTTCACTTGCTTGCTATCAGGATGACAAGTTTTATGAGAAATCCATAATGGACCCACGTGGCAGGAAGGGAAACTACTCGACCAAAGAAGATCTACTTAAATTTTACCATATGTCTTCTGACGAAGACTCTGATGATGACAATGATGATGCTGATGATGATGATGATGCTGATGATGATGATGATGATGATGGAGAAGATCGCAGTACAGATGAGGATGGTGATAAATGCAGCATAGAAAATCATGCTGTAGAAGCAGGGAGGGATGATAAAAAGGACAGCAGTATCATTTCAATCAAAAATATTGAAAAAAGTGAAGATTCACTAGTTAGTGATATAAAAAATAAAAAGAAAAATCAACACAAAGGTAAGAAAGTATTTTTTTACATTTTTAGTTTATACACATCATCAGTAATGCATTTTTATACTTGTACAAGTATTTCTGAAATAAATCAGTCTTGAATACATGTACAGTAGGTCCACACCTATACAGCAGGTTAGGTTCCAGGCTACCGTCTCAAAGCAGACATCCCTGGAAAGCAGAACAGCATTTTTGTCTGCTTAAAAATGCATATAAATGCCAGATAACAAGTTTACACTAACATACATTAAGTTACCAATAGAACTAGGCAATAAAAAACAATAAAATAAAATACACACACAGTACACTCATTATTTACCTGAAAATATTTGTAATCTTAATGTAGGGCAAACGGTGAGTAGTATATACTGTAAGAAGTCAGGTTTGGTAGCCCTCCTGGCCACCCCACCCACACATAATATACTATGACGCTTAAAGAGCCCTAGAGTGATAAAATGCAACTATGTATCATGTCCAAATAATAATAAATAAATATACAGTACACTCATTGTTTACCTTAAAATATTTGTGGTCTTAATGTAGGGTGAGAGGTGAAAAGTATTTATTTGTAGAAAGTTGTGTGGGAGGTATGATAGCCCACCTGGCCACCCCACCTACTATGACATTTAAAGCTCCCTAGAACAATAAAATGCATATACAGTACACTCATTACATACCTTAAAATATTTGTAGTCTTAATGTAGGGTGAGAGGTGAGGAGATAAAAACAAATAAACGAGAGAAAGAGAACAAGTAAGAGGACAGAGCCGCAGATTACTTATGTAAACAAATGTGTCTGGTTATGGTTGACACAGGTTCATATAAACACCGTATATTGTGTACAAGTTGTCTCCACAGTGATACAGTAGAATAAATAAAGACCAACACTTCCATTCTCCTGTAACATCATTTTTAGAAGGAATGATGCTCTGACAAGTTATTATTATTATTTTTACAAATTATTATTACAAATTATTATTTTTTTTTTTAACAAGCTGGCCATCTCCCACCGAGGCAGGGTGACCCGAAAAGAAAGAAAATCCCCAAAAAGAAAGTACTTTCCTCAACATTCAACACTTTTGCCTCACTCATTCATAATCACTGTTTTTGCAGAGGTGCCCAGGACACAACAGTTTAGAAGCATATACGTATAAAGATACACAACATATCCCTCCAAACTGCCAATATCCCAAACCCCTCCTTTAAAGTGCAGGCATTGTACTTCCCATTTCTAGTACTCAAGTCCGGCTACATAAAAATAACTGGTTTCCCTGAATCCCTTCACGAAATATTACCCTGCTCACACTCCAACAGCTCATCAGGTCCCAAATACCATTTGTCTCCATTCATTCCTATCTAACATGCTCACACATGCTTGCTGGAAATCCAAGCCCCTCGCCCACAAAACCTCCTTTACCCCCTCCCTCCAACCTTTTCGAGGACGACCCCTACCCTGCCTTCCTTCCCCTACAGATTTGTACGCTCTCCATGTCATTCTACTTTGATGCATTCTCTCTAAATGACCAAACCACATCAACAACCACTCTTCAGCCCTCTGACTAATACTTTTGTTAACTCCACACCTTCTCCTAATTTCCACACTCCGAATTCTCTGCATAATATTTACACCACATGTTGCCCTTAGACAGGACATCTCCACCGCCTCCAACCACCTCCTCGCTGCAGCATTTACAACCCAAGCTTCACACCCATATAAGAGTGTTGGTACCATTATACAGTGGACCCCCGGTTATCGGCCAACTCGGTTATCAGCGGGGTTTTTGGCACTCGGTTATTGGCCGTTCGCTCGGTTATCGGCCATTTTGGACGCTTTCATCTGCTGGCTGGGGCAGCTTGCGCTTCAGTTTGGCTTTGTCTCTCGGTGGCTGAAGAAGCTTCTGCTCATACATCCAAACATTTCGCTTGTTTACCATTGTTTTTAGTGGTTTTTCTTGCAGTGCAACTGTGAAATAAGTAACCATGGCTCCAAAGAAAGTTCCTAGTAAAGTTCCTTTTCTAAAGAAAGTGAGAAACACCATGGAATTTAAGCGTGAAGTGATAGAAAAATTCGAGAGTGGTATGAAGGTAGTGGAACTTGCCAGCCCATGGACCAGTAGGTCATTTCTAACTTCAAAAAACTCTACACAAAAGCAGTGTTTCAAAAGTGCTTTGAAGTAACCTCGGACACTCAGTTGACCCTAAGAGAGTTCTGGAGAAATCACTTCACTATCCTCCATTGCATAAGCCTTATAGGTAAGGCTTGGGAGGGAGTGACTTCCAGGTCTTTGAACTCTGCTTGGAGAAAACTGTGACCAGATTGTGTCCAAGAGAGGGATTTTGAAGGGTTTGAGACTCAGCGTGACCATGACCCTTGCCGACCCTGTGGACTCTAATGTGTCTTTGGGGAAGTCCCTGGGGTTGGAGGTGAGTGGTGAGGATATGGAAGAGTTGGTGGAGGACACAGGGAAGAGCTTACCACTGAAGAACTGCAAGAGCTTCAACTTGAACAGCAACAGACTGCAGCTGAGGAACTTGCTTCAGAGGAGGAGGAAGAGGGAGTGAAGGTGCCTTTTTCAGAGATTAAAGAGGTGTGTGCAATGTGGACCAGGGTGCAAGCTTTTGTAGAGAAACACCACCTTGACAAAGCTGAAACAAGCCATATCTGCAACATGTTTAGTGACAAAACCCTGTCCCACTTCAGGGAAATCTTAAAGAGATGCCAGAAACAGAGCACTCTGGACAGTCATTTTGTGAGACGGGTCCAGTGACTCTCAAGCTGGTTCTAGTGGCATTAAAAGACAGAGAAGGGAAGTAACCCCAAAGAAGGCATTGCTACCTAAAGTCTTCATGGAGGGGGATTCCCCTTCCAAACACTAACTCCTCTCTCTTTCCTCCTCCCTATCTTCCAGAAGCCAGCATTAGCCTTCAATAAAGGTATGTAATCCTTACTTTTTTTTTTTTCAACAAGTCAGCCGTCTCCCACCGAGGAGGGTGACTTACATAATTGTAAAAAAAAAATTTTTTTTGTGAATATTTTTGTTTGGACTAGGTAGTAGGTTGGTAGACAGCAACCGCCCAGGGAGGTACTACCGTCCTGCCAAGTGAGTGTAAAACGAAAGCCTGTAATTGTTTTACATGATGGTAGGATTGCTGGTGTCCTTTTTTTCTGTCTCATAAACATGCAAGATTTCAGGTACGTCTTGCTACTTCTACTTACACTTAGGTCACACTACACATGCATGTACAAGCATATATATGTATATATACACATCCCTCTGGGTTTTCTTCTATTTTCTTTCTAGTTCTTGTTGTTGTTTATTTCCTCTTATCTCCATGGGGAAGTGGAACAGAATTCTTCCTCCGTAAGCCATGCGTGTTGTAAGAGGCGACTAAAATACCAGGAGCAAGGGGCTAGTAACCCCTTCTCCCGTATAAATTACTAAATTTAAAAAGAGAAACTTTCGTTTTTCTTTTTGGGCCACCCTGCCTTGGTGGGATACGGCCGGTTTGTTGAAAAAAAAAAAAAAAAATTTTTGTTTGGAACGAATTAATTTTATTTCCATTAATTCTTATGGGAAATATTAATTTGGTTATTGGCCATTTCGGTTATTGGCCAACCTTCAGGAATGAATTACGGCCAATAGCCGGGAGTCCACTGTACTTTCATACATTCCCTTCTTTGCCTCCATAGATAATGTTTTTTGTCTCCACATATACCTCAATGCACCACTCACCTTTTTTCCTTCATCAATTCTGTGTTAACCTTATCCTTCATACATCCATCTGCTGACACGTCAACTCCCAAATATCTGAAAACATTCACTTCTTCCATACTCCTCCTCTCCAATTTGATATCCAATTTTTCTTCATCTAAATCATTTGATACCCTCATCACCTTACTCTCTTCTATGTTCACTTTCAACTTTCTACCTTTACACACACTCCTAAACTCATCAACTAACCTATGCAACTTTTCCGTAGAATCTCCCATAAGCACAGTATCATCAGCAAAAAGCAAATGTGTCAATTCCCATTTTGTATTTGATTCCCCATAATTTAATCCCACCCCTCTCCCCAGCACCCTAGCATTTACTTCTTTTACAACCCCATCTATAAATATATTAAACAACCATGGTGACATTACACATACCTGTCTAAGACCCACCTTTACCGGGAAGTAGTCTCCCTCTCTTCTACACACCCTAACCTGAGCCTTACTATCCTCATAGAAACTCCTTACAGCATTTAGTAACTTACTACCTATTCCATATACTTGCAACATCTGCCACATTGTTCCCCTATCCACTCTTATCATATGCCTTTTCAAAATCCATAAATGCAGTGAAAACTTCCCTACCTATATCTAAATACTGTTCACATATATGCTTCAGTGTAAACACTTGATCTACACATCCCCTACCCACTCTAAAACCTCCTTGCTCATCCGCAATCCTACATTCTGTCTTGGCTCTGATTCTTTCAATAGTAACTCGACCATATACTTTTCCTGGTATACTCAGTAAACTTATTCCTCTATAATTTTTACAATCTCTTTTGTCCCCCTTCCCTTTATATAAAGGAATTATACATGCTCTCTGCCAATCCCTTGGTACCTTCCCCTTTTTCATACATTTATTAACCCTTTGACTGTTTCAGGCCCCTCTCTGAAACTGTCATTCTATGTCGCCAAATATTAAAAAAAAAAAAAATTATTTTTTCTTATGAAAATGTTAAGATTATTTTTCTGAGTGTTTTAGTCCAAAAAAAAAATTTTTGCCATCGGTACTTACCGAGATATAGAGCCGTGAAGTTTGCAGAAAATGAGCTGCGTATGGCAACAGCGGCGACTGCCGCTCACCCGGTAAACTTTAGTTTACTTGTAATTGAAGGTTTTTTGTTTTTTTCACTATTTTATTTTTTCACATAACTTATGTGGCCTATGAGACCAAAGTAAGGTGCAATGTATATATATACACTCGTTGTATACAACACAATAAGCACACAAACATAATTATCAATATATTGTTTACAAAACTTGTTTACAAAAACAAACAAACAAAATCATCATCATCCTCATCATCCTCATCATCCTCATCATCCTCATCCTCCTCATCCTCCTCCTCCTCCTCCTCCTCCTCCTCCTCCTCCTCCTCCTCCTCCTCCTCCTCTTGTGTGGGAGTGTGTGGCTTATAATTGTTTTGAGTCAGAAGTCGGCAGCTGTCAAAGTGACATATTGTCTCATTAGTCACTACCCCTACAGCCTGTCAAAACAATGGGGTCGGATGCTGCTTCCCCTCCTCCATTCTATCTAATTATCTTTCTCCCTCATTCTATATCTTTCAATCTGTCTCTCTTCTATCTGTCTGCCTATCTCTGTCTCACAGGTACACATAAATACAAGTATACATAGTGTAAATTACCTAGGATAACCCAAGAAATCCAGACAAAGTGCTATACTCTGCTTGAAGATGTGAGTAAATGTGATGACACAGTCTTGTGGCTCTCTCTGAGACAGAGAGCTAGATGGACAGACAGGGAGCTTGACAGACAGACAAATAGACAGACAGACAAATGTTTGTGTACCAGCAAAAACAAAGGGAGGGCAATGGTCATGTAATATTACCCTCCTTTACGCTCATCAAAGTCAGCTCTTATCAGATGTTATCTCCCCTTATCTTGTCACTGTCATGGGGTGGACTTTTTTTTTTCTTGCTTCAAGGGAACAATATTATTACATCTTCTTCTTCCTCCTCCTCCTCCTCCTCTTTTTCTCCTCCTCCTCCTCCTCCTCCTCCTCCTCCTCCTCTTCCTTCCCTCCTCCTCCTCCTCCTCCTCCTCCTCCTCCTCCTCCTCCTCCTCCTCTTCCTCCCCTCCTCCCCCTCCTCCTTCTCCATTGCTTTTGGTCTCAAACTCCTCCAAATCATGAAATTGATCTTCACTGACACTTCCATCTGTGTTAGAGCATCACTTGGGAAGAGAAGAGTCCCAGATTTGCTGGGGAATCACATATTTCTTACCGCTAGACATGCTGAAAAAGGACAACTGAAATGGCATTCCCACAATGCACCACTGGCTCCCCGATTTTTTTTATATGGTGCACACTGACCATGGAGACCCATTCTCTCACATGTGGGCCTACCAGCTTTCTCCTGCTTGATTTGAAGCTGCTAGAATTTATGCTTATAAATACGTCAGAAACATTGGCTCGTAAGACGTATTTATACGTCGGAAACAGTCAAAGGGTTAAACAAAAATACCAACCACTCCAACACTAAATCTTCCCCTGCTTTTAACATTCTGTCATAATCCCGTCAGTTCCAGCTGCTTTACCCCATTTCGTTCAATGTAATGCCTCATAAAGAAAGAAGCGCTAAACCCACAAGGGTCATGAATAGCTATAGATAGAGTGAAGGCATACGAAAGGAATATTTTTCTACAGTTAAGTAACTGGTGTTTGACTAGAGAAAACGTAATTCTTCTAACACTCTACAAACTGCTTGGTACATGAATCTCATATTTATGTAAATTTTTATACTGTGGGTGTCTGTATCATGTGTATACATTATGTAGCATGTTTATTATATAATTTTGAAAAAAATATCATAGATGGATTAATGGAAATGTCTATATTAGCGTAATATACGACATTTAATGTGCCCAAGAGATTATATGGCGTCAAGAGTAAAGAGACTCTTAGTGATTTTAATGTGTTCCTGCACACCAGCACAGTGTGTAAATATATTTAGGTACAGGTACACATAAATATAATTATCAGAGTACACATACATATAAAATCTGCAATAACTTTAAAACACTTGAAATTCTGGAAAATTTCCAGGCATAATAGAGAGATGTACTCACGGAGAATGTAAGCAGACTGGGTGGGGCACACCGTATTAGAAAGACTGCTTACTGTATAGCAAGTTTTGGTCATAATTTGAAATCACCGTATTATCAGAATGCTGTAAAGCAAAACGCCGTAAAGCGGGGTCCTACTGTATATTGTTCTCAGACTACAGCCTCTCCTCACTTAACAACATACTCATTTACCGACGCCTCAGACTTACAAGGGGCTGTCTGACCAGTATTCGTGCCTGAATAATGTATATTAGAGCTGATTTACTTTATTCTCTTATTTCATTATACAGTACACTACTGTATAAACATATAAAAATATACCAGAAATGTTATAAATGGTGCAAAGGTAACATTAAAATAATATCAAAGATGGTTAACACAAACTCACTACCATTATGGTATGCTCCTCACTTAGCGACGAGTTTGTTGAATGACGTGGTCTCAGGAAAGGAACTCCATCATTAAGTGAGGAGAGGCTGCATTTGCAAAGGGTTAATACATACTTTTAGGGTTGCTTACATCCTACAAAATTGTCATCAAGTTACAAATATCCAGCTAGAAAAATGAACAAAATGTTAAGAAATCATACCAAATGATAAATAAATATTCCTTTATGTATGGGTAACTTGTGTATTTTTGCTGAAGCTAAATTAAGTTCTTTTTATTTTCAAAGGAGAATAATTTTACTTAACCTCTGGAAGCCTCTAACATAAAAATAATGAATCCTGTATTTTATCATTTGTCTTCTGATGAAGACTCTGATGATGAGGTAGATGATGATGGAGAAGACGGCAGTACAGAAGATGATGGTGATAAATGCAGCACAGAAAATCATGATGTAGAGGCAAGAAGAGGTGATATACAGGACAGCAATATCATTTCAATAAAAAATACTGAAAAAAGTGAAGATTCACTAGGTAGTAATATAAAAAATGAAAATGAAAAAGGTGAGAACCTTTTTTAAAACTGTACAGGTACTTCTGAAATAAATCAGTCTAAAGTGTTGTTGAAAACTTTTTCAGCTATTTGCAAAGGGTTAATTCATAAATTTAGGGTCACACAGGTTCTACAAAACTGTCATACAGTGGACCCCCGGTTAACAAACTTTTTTCATTCCAGTAGTATGTTCAGGTGCCAGTACTGACCGAATTTTTTCCCATAAGGAATATTGTGAAGTAGATTAGTCCATTTCAGACCCCCAAAAATACACGTACAAACGCACTCACATAAATACACTTACATAATAGGTCGCATTTGGAGGTGATCGTTAAGCGGGGGTCCACTGTATATGTAGTTACAAATATCCAACTAGAAAAATGAACACAGTGTTAAGAAATCATACCAAATGATAAGCTATATATAAAGCTTCCCTTATGTACGAGTAACTTGTATAGTTTTGTAAAGTTAAAATAGGCTCTTTTTTTCAAGGAAACCTCTAACATAAAAAGAGTGACTTTTTATATTTTGTTTACTTACATTAGATAACATTGAAGCTAATGTAAAAATTACCTTAATAGAACTTAGATTTTCTCTTCATATTTCACAACTCACAAAATGTACATATTGCAGAAAAAATTAACAAGAGAGAGGAGAAGGAAATGTTAGAACTATCAGAAGACATGGACAGACGACTACGAGACATGACCCAAGACTATGCAAGGGGTGAAGTTCTTTTCTCAGATGACTCCTCAGATGATGATTCCACAAGTGATGAAGGTCTGGATATTGGAGAATTTGACTGGGGGGAATTTGACAAAGATGCTGTCTGGGACAATGAGACGCACGATGTGGAAGTAGGTACAAATGTTTTCTTTTAATTGCTGTTACCATTAAACTTTTCATTATGGTTTATAGATGAAGATTATTTCCAGAGAAAATTATTCTGATTAATTTCAGGCAAAATACTGTACAGTATTTATATTATTTTTATTCACATCAACCATTTCCCACCAAGGCAGGGTGGCCCAAAAAAAACTTTCATTATTCACTTCATCACTGTCTTGCCAGAGACAAGCTTACACTACATTTATAAAACTGCAACATTAACACCCCTCCTTCAGAGTGCAAGCACTGTACTTCCCACCTCCAGGACTCAAGTCTGGCCATCCAGTTTCCCTGAATCCCTTCATAAATGTTATCTTGCTCACGCTTCAACAGCACGTCAGGTCCTAAAAACCATGTCTCCACATACTCTTATGTAACATGCTCATGCATGCTTGCTGGAAGTCTACACCCTCACACACAAAACCTCTTTTTCCCCTTCCCTCCAACCTTTCCTAGGCTGACCCCTACCCCATCTTCCTTCCACTAAAGGAACTTTGTGAAGATATTTATTGACCCACAGCTTGCAAAAGGAAAGCTTTTGAAAACCACCTACAGTAGTTATATTTCTTGAGATGACAACATAATTAGGGCTTAACAAAGCTACTTAAGGTTTGAAACATGCTACAGTAATTGTCTTAGCACTCAAATGTTTCTTGTTGAAATATAATTTGTTTCATATGTATTGCTAGTATACTGTATATCAACATAAATTTTAGCACTACTGGGGCTTGAAAATATTTTACCAAGAAGGTTTTTATCATTTTCCTATCAAGAGTTGGATAAAGTTATCTTCAAAATTCAGCAACTATTTTTCATAATAATTTTTCAGGAAACATCACGTTTTGCTGTTTGCAACCTTGACTGGGATTATATAAATGCTGCAGATATCATGATGGTGTTTTCATCATTTTGCCCAAGAGGTGGTTATGTAAAGAAAGTCACTATATATCCTTCTGAATATGGAAAGCAACGAATGGCTGAAGAGGACCTTAGTGGACCCCAAGAGTTAAAATCAGTACCTAGTAGTGAGGCACAGGATTCTAATATTGATTTAGTAGATCTTGATAAACTTGAGAAAGGTAAGCTATTACTTTACATTTTTTTTATGTAACTGACCTTGCCTATCAAACCCATTCTAAGTAGCATAAAGAAGTACAGCAATTTGTGATTATTGATGCATCAATAACAAGCATGGCTGAAGAGGACATTAGCAGACCCCAAAAGTTAAAATAAAACCCAGTTGTAAGGCATGGGAAACAGAGCTACAAATATCCAACTAAACATAATGAACAACCATTTTAGGTCTACACACTGACTGCAACTTTAAATTCAATACCCACATCCAGCCCATAACTAAAGAGGTCTCCACTACAGTAGGGACTGGTCGCTGTTGCCCAGTGGTGAGAGTAGTGACTCTCATTGCTGAGGTCCAGGTAATAAGCCCTGGACATTAACATAAAACACTACAGTAGGCATCCACTCTAAGATGCATTACTGTGTACCTCAAACAGCACTTCTCATTTTTTTTTTTCAACAAGTCGGCCGTCTCCCACTGAGGCAGGGTGACCCAAAAAGAAATAAAATACTTTCATCATCATTCAACACTTTCACCTCACTCATACATAATCACTGTTTTTGCAGAGGTGCCCAGAACACAACAGTTTAGAAGCATATATGTATAAAGATGTACTACATATCTCTCCAGACTGCCAATATCCCAACCCCTCCTTTAAAGTGCAGGCATTGTACTTCCCATTTCCAGTGCTCAAGTCCGGCTATATAAAAATAACCGGTTTCCCTGATTTTTTTTTTTTTTTTTTTTTTTTTTCAACAAGTCGGTCGTCTCCCACCGAGGCAGGGTGACCCAAAAAAGAAAGAAAATCCCCAAAAAGAAAATATTTTCATCATCATTCAACACTTTCACCACACTCACACATTATCACTGCTTTTGCAGAGGTGCTCAGAATACAACAGTTTAGAAGCATATACGTATAAAGATACACAACATATCCCTCCAAACTGCCAATATCCCAAACCCCTCCTTTAAAGTGCAGGCATTGTACTTCCCATTTCCAGGACTCAAGTCCGACTATATGAAAATAACCGGTTTCCCTGAATCCCTTCACTAAATATTACCCTGCTCACACTCCAACAGATCGTCAGGTCCCAAGTATCATTCGTCTCCATTCACTCCTATCTAACACGCTCATGCACGCTTGCTGGAAGTCCAAGCCCCTCGCCCACAAAACCTCCTTTACCCCCTCTTTCCAACCCTTTCGAGGACGACCCCTACCCCTCTTTCCTTCCCCTATAGATTTATATGCTTTCCATGTCATTCTACTTTGATCCATTCTCTCTAAATGACCAAACCACCTCAACAACCCCTCTTGTGCCCTCTGACTAATGCTTTTATTAACTCCACACCTTCTCCTAATTTCCACACTCCGAATTTTCTGCATAATATTTACACCACACATTGCCCTTAGACAGGACATCTCCACTGCCTCCAACCGTCTCCTCGCTGCTGCATTTACCACCCAAGCTTCACATCCATATAAGTGTTGGTACTACTATACTTTCATACATTCCCTTCTTTGCCTCCATAGATAACGTTTTTTGACTCCACATATACCTCAATGCACCACTCACCTTTTTTCCCTCATCAATTCTATGATTAACCTCATCCCTGAATCCCTTCACTAAATATTACCTTGTTCACACTCCAACAGCTCGTCAGGTCTCAAATACCATTCGTCTCCATTCACTCCTATCTAACAAGCTTACACATGCTTGTTGGAAGTCCAAGCCCCTCGCCCACAAATCCTACTTTACCCCCTCCCTCCAACATTTTCGAAGACGACCCCTACCCCGCCTTCCTTCCCCTACAGAGTTATACGCTCTCCATGTCATTCTACTTTGATCCATTCTCTCTAAATGACCAAACCACCTCAACAACCCCTCTTCAGCCCTCTGACTAATACTTTTAAAGTTGCATAAACATTAGAATAGCATTATACATGAAATTATGTGTATATGAAAAATTAAGGACTGTTTGGTAAAATATCAAGGGTCAACTTATACATGGGACTGTGTTATACTTCAGTATAATGGTAAATACTGTACTAACAAAGTAGCAAATAAAATATCTTCAGTAATTTGCTGTGAATTTTTTAAAAGGTAAACTTGATGAAAAAGCTGGAGCAACCAAATCACATCATGAGGCTCTGCGACAGTACCAGCGTAATCGTCTTCGCTACTACTATGCAGTTGTTGAGTGCAATTCTGTTGACACTGCCAGTCTCCTCTATCAAACCTGTGATCGTAAAGCATTTGAAGGAAATGGTATTCTTCTTGATCTGCGATATATTCCTACAGATATGACTTTTGATGAGGTTTGTGATGTGATTAATAACCATTTTCCTTAATTAAAAAAGAAAGATGTGGTAGGTTTTTTATAGAAAATGGTAATTTACATTCTTTTATATTCACTTTTGAGAGTGTATGGACTACATTCTAACTATGTGTTGAGATATTTTCACTTTTTAAAGAAAAAGTGTTTCAACAGATGAGATACTTTTACTTTTTAAAAATGTTTTGACAGGGTTGTTAAAACAAAAGTTTCAGTGGATAAAGTTGGCTTGAGGAGTTGCTTATCCTTATATCTGGAATGATGAGATTTATGCATTAATTTATGAACACAAGAGATGCAAGTTATACAGTTCATCAAAATTTCCATGCTTACCCTCCTGCCACAACACTCACACTTTTAAGTATATTATATTAGAGTTATTGTATTCAGATTTATTTCATCCAGACAAAAACATCATTATGGGCAAACTCCTCATGGAAACTATGGCTATAAATGCTTACAAAAACATGCAGTAAAACCTCTCATTAATGGCCCTCCATTTGAAAGATTATGGCAATTTTTTAATAACAAAAATTTATTCTGGATTTCGTCTGTAGTGGTAGTGTTCATTGTCTTCAGAAGCATCAGACCAAGTCTGATGACTCTGACATTCATCCAGTACAGGCCAGAGCAGCCACATCCAGGATCTGTCTGTTTTCATTGTTCCCTGCCTATAGGCCGCTTGTGCCAGTTTATGGTTTGTACTTACTCACACATTCATTTGCCGTTCAGTCTCCAATTTTCCCTGTATTTACAGTGTTTTGTGTGACCTTATTAACATATTTAGTAAAATGCGGTTAACAGTGGCTTCTAAAGCAAGTGGTTGTGCCAAGAGGAATTATGTGGTTCTCAATGTTAAGTAGAAATTTGACTAATAAAGGTTGAGTCTGGCATATCAGTGGCACATCTTCTTAGCCTTCTACATAATTTTCACTAGCAGAGTTTTGCAGTTAATTTGACTTGGAATAAAAGTTATTCTGAGTCTTCACTATCAATCACTGCAGCTTACACCTCACCACTCCATCATAAATAGGTGAGCAAAATTACAGGAGGGCCCCATTTGCACTACTCTTAGATTCTCTTCCCTGTGCAATAAGTGTAAATTGCCAGTGGGTGGAAAAGAGCATTTTTTCATTATCAAATGTGTTTAAAATGCCTGATAATGTGTTTACACTATCATATATTAAGTGCTTCATACAGCTAAGAATAAAAAAAAATAAAGTAAATACACAACTGTTGTGAGAAAATGGAGGAAAAACAGTAAAAATACTGTACATAAAAATGGCTCAACATGAAAATGTGGAACACTGAAAAGAGGGTACTGAATATGCAGGGCCCTCCTGTACTGTAAATCATGTACAGTTCTATAAAATTGCTATAGAGTAAGGTGCCGTACTGTAGTACTACAGTGTACAATACTCATATTCTTAGTGTCTGATTGTCTTCTGCATCAGCAGACCAATTCCACTAATTCAGAACTTTGTCAGATTGTGTTGCAATCACTAAAAAATTAATTTAAAAAGTTGGAAGTTTCAGACAGTCAACAATATCGTACACCTCCTCCCCCTATTAGTCTGTTAATTAGAGGGCTTCGCTGTACATATGGTACTACAGTATGCAAGGTTTTATATACTAATTTAACAAATAATTAACAGTGCACCATCTTTTTTATGTGTACAATATTATATTATGATTGTGAAATACAGTACAACTTGGATTACAGACCCCACATGATGTTTGTGAGGAAGTCCCTACATCTTACAAGGTGAAGAATATGAACTTAACAACTCTATACGAGACCCGCCCTGTATTAACCTGGGATAAAACCAACCCTGAACGGAAGAAAATTTTGACACAGGAAATGAGTAAAGCAATGAAGGGAGAAGCTATAGATGAGGATTGTCTGAAGGTTGGTTTGATAATGTTGATTATTTTTTTTTAAACAATTCCTGCATGAAATTTTCTAGTGTTCATATTTTTTATTAGTCTCAAATTAGCTGTAGCTTGTATTAAGATGGTGCATTGTGTTAAGATAGCTGCATTGTATTACAGTATAATTTTATCATCATGGAAGGTTTTAATTCTGTGTTCGAGGGACATGCACTGTGTTCATGATTTTAATGAGGCTTATTATTTTTTTGAAAACTTTTATATTATTGTGCACTACATAACTGAAGCCTATTAATTACCACAGTAATCTAAGAGTGGATTGCAGTTCACTCTTGAAGATGTTTACTGCATTTTTTCTAGTATAATTGTTGACATTTTGTATCCCTTAACACTGTTTTATAAAATCTGACATATAGTCATTAAATACATAACCAGTATTTTCATTTTAGGAGTTTTTATATACAGTAGGGCCCCACTTATACGGCGGGTTAGGTTCCAGGCTGTCGCCGGAAAGCAGACATCGCCGGAAGGCAGAACGCCATTTTTTTCCATTTATAAATGCATATAAGTGCCAGTCAACAAGTATACACTAAATTATATTACGTTAGTAATAGAACCAGGCATTAACCCTTTCAGGGTCCAAGGCCCAAATCTGGAGTCACGCACCAGTGTCCAAGAATTTTCCAAAAAAAAATTTGTTATTTTTTCTTATGAAATCGTAGAGAATCTTTTTGTGAAGGTAATAAAACAAAAAGTACGAAATTTGGTGGAAAATTGACGAAATTATGCTCTCGCGAATTTTGATGTCTCAGCGATATTTACGAATCGGCGATTTTGCTGACTTTGACTCCCATTTTAGGCCAATTACATTATTTCAATCAACCAAATTCTTAGCTATTTCACTAGTATTACTTCTATTCTATCGATTGAGCACAAGAAATCGCCAAGTCAACTGTTTCAACTACAAAATAAAGTGATCGGAAATTGTTAATTTGGCCAATTTAACACAAAGTTCAAAATATTCCAATTTCAAAATAGGGTCCAGAATGAACAATGTAGGCATTCCTGGCACTAAACTAACATTTCCTCTGTTCATTAGTTATGTTTTGAGGCTTCACAAATAAATTCCATTTTGATTTTTTATTCACATGAATTTTTATTCACACCAAAAAATAGAAGATTTACTGTTATGCAATATTGTAATAATTGTATAAATATCATCACCATATTTGTGAATGTATATTAGACCCACCAGCTGACGTGTATTAGACGTGTGAGGTCGTTTGTTTATTCTTGAATATCGGCCAAAATTTAACATTTCTGCTATTTGAGCTCAGTTTCAAGCCATTTCCAGTGCTAAAACCAATCAAAATCATCTCTATTTCTGTAATATGTCTTCCATTCTATCAAATGAGACCAAGAAATCGCAAATACAACTATAAAAAACATACGAAAAAACACTGCAAAGTTGCTGTTTTAATCGAAAAATCATGATTTCATTTTTTTTCTCTCATTATACACAGTGTGCTGCAGGATCTGTTTTATGTGGTGCACACATACCACATAGATGGATTCTCTCATATCCAGGCCCAAATGTACCACTCACAGTTTATCAGAGTGAGCTGAGCTCATGGCGTAGATCTACGGTTTGGACCCTGAACGTAAAGCCGTAGATCTACGGGATGGACCCTGAAAGGGTTAAAAACACACAAAGTAAAATACATTCACAGTAAATTCATTACTTATCTTAAAGTATTTGTAATCTTAATGTAGGGAGAGAAGTGAGTAGTACTTACTTGTAGGAAGTCAGGTGCAGGTAGCCCAGGTGTAGGTAGCCCTGGCTCCCCGTCTCATACTTAATATACGATATTTAAAACATCCCAGAGAGGTAAAATACACATACAGTAGACTCATTATTTACCTTAAAATATGTGTAGTCTTAATATAGGAAGAGAGGTGAGTAGTATTTATTTGTAGGAAGTCAGTGTAGGTAGCAGGTAGGTGTAGCCCACCTGGGCTACACCTACCGGCTACCTACACTGTGGCCCAGAGCCATATTATTAACATCGACATGCCTTGTTCACTGAATTTAATCATTTCTAACAACTACCTTTAGATGCCATCATAAACGAAGGTAGAAGTAATAAATAATTCATGCTGAAAATTGTAAACAAAAGCAGAGTGAGGGAGTGGCTGGGCCAAACGCAGATTCATACACGTTTTCTCTGATGGCTGAGCAGAGAAAACGTAATGTTGTCCCTCCACCCGGCTACCACACAGCTCCACAAGTATTATTATCAGAGCACACATAAAATATGCAATAAATGCCAGACAACATGTTTACACTAACTTATATTAAGTTAGCAATAGAAATAGGCATTAAAAACACAATAAAAGGTAAGATACACACAGAGTACACTTATTACTTACCCTAAAATATTAATATTAATGTGTGAGAGGTGAGTGGCAGGGTGTTTATTGAATAAAATTAGAATGGCACACCATCATCCTCTAACTTGGCACTTAAAGCAAGAGGCTTACGACTTCTCTTTTTATCACAGCTAACCTTAGACACCATCGTCAATGAGAGCCAACTAGTTAACGAAAGAGTAAACAAGAGAGAGAATGAGATACAGAGTTGAGACAATGTAAGAACACAAACTGAACAGGTAGTGGGCGATCACTTGGTCAGGCGAAATAAATGCGTATTAATATGTGTCTACTTTTAGTTCATTCACGTCCATTTGTAAGAGTTTGTAAAACATTTACCTCAATATTTTTTTTATATAATAATAATTACCTCACAATACAAATACTCTTACATTGTGTACAAGTTGTACAAGTTAGTTCAGAATAAACAAACAGCAACACACCATTTTTAGAGTGAATGAAGATGATAATGTTAATAATAATAATAATAATAATAATATTATTATTATTATTATTATTATTATTATTATTATTATTATTATAAAAAGCACTAAACCCACAAGGGTCGTGAATTGCTATATATAGAGTAAAGGCATATGAAAAGAATATTTTTCTACAGTTATCCCCCAGTTTGACTAGAGAAAATGTAATTCTTCCGACGCTACCTACACAGCTGCTTGGTAAACAAATCTCATATTTACGTCAATTTTTATTCTGTGAGTGTATGTATCATGTTTATATGCTATGTAATGGGTTTCATATATAATTTTGAGGAAAATATCATAGATGGATTAATGAAAATGCCTATATTGATGTAAAATAAGACATTTAGTGTGCCAAAGAGTGGTTATTATTACGTAGTATTTGCGTCATGAGTAGATAGAGACTTAGCGATTTTAATGTGTACCCTGCACACCAGCACAGTGTGTAAGTACAGTGGACCCCCGCATAACGATCAGCTCCCAACTCGACCAATTATGTAAGTTTATTTTTGTAAGTGCTTTTGTAGGTGTATTTTTAGGGGTCTGAAATGGACTAATCTAATTCACAATATTTCTTATGGGAACAAATTCGGTCTATAACGGCACCCAAACAGACTTCTGGATTGAAATAATATCGTTATGCGGGGGTCCACTGTATATTTAAGTACAGGTACACTTATGTATAATTATCAGAGTACATATAAAATATGCAGTATCTTTAAAACACTTGAAATTTTGTAAAGTTTCCTGACGTAATAGATGAGGTCACGGAAAATGTAAACAAACCGGGTGGGGGGCGTTGTATTTGAGAGACCGCTTGCCGTATAGCAAATTTTGGTCATAATTTGACATCGCTGTATTAGCGGAACGCCGTAAGGCAAAACGCCGTAAAGCGGGGCCTTACTGTACTGTACTGTAGTGTCACATTGAAATGTTAAGCATTTATTTATATGTACAGTAGACTACCTACTACTGTGTATCTGGCCACTGCATTTCCAAAACTGTGATTCACTTTTTTTGTCCTCTTTCCATCTTTTGCTGTAAAAATCCCACTTTTGTGCTGGTATAGGTGGGATATCTTTCCTCCCATGTGCATTGGACCTCCACTATTTTAATGTAGACTTAGTGTCACTTCATAGTGTTTACACCCCCTCCACCCACACCACCACCACAACACTAGTTACCCTGTGGATGTGTACTATACCATTATTGTCTCCTGTGTTATCTTTCCATTTCTAATTTGTTCATCACTTCATCTCATATCTAGTGAAGAAAATTGAGGTGATAGACATGCTCAGAGGTGATGAAGGCAACCCATGCCTTTGGTGTCAGAGAATCACAAATTTGTTGAATTCCAGACAATGAGAAGATAAGTGTATGTGTGATAAGTAATCCTGACTTTGACATGAAAAAATGGGAAAGAAGTCAATAGACTTAAATAGGACTGACAAAGATGCCGAGTTATTAGACTCGGCAGAAAAAAAAGTGCCTCATGTAATTGCCTTGTGATAAAAGAGAAAGCCCTATCATACTATAAAATGGTGTGAGCAGGACCAAATGCCTTTAAAGAAGTGTTTGTTTAGTTCTAGTTTAATCATTACAAAATGTACAATCAGATGCATAATACAGCATTTAGTTTATGGAAATTTTCCTGCTGAACGGGAGGAAATTATTTCTGAGTGTGGAAGCTAAGCACCTTTTCTTCCTGGCCTTCCCAACCTCTTCTACCTGCCTTTCTCCCTCCCTCCTTCCCTTCCTCCTTTCATCACTGAAGCTAAAACCATGGGTAACTTTAAAAATAGGTTGAACAAATATACAAGTGAAAAAGTTTGGATTTGAGTAGGGCTGGTAGGTGTACTTTTGTGCTCCTCTTTTATGTTTTAACTGTCAGATGCAGTGATCAGACATCGTATAAAACAAAGCTACAGTGGACCCCCGAGTTTTGTGATTAATCCGTTCCAGAGAGCCTGCTGAAAGTTGAAATTGCCGAATGGCGAAACCATTTTCCCCATAAGAAATAATGGAAATAAAATTAATCCATTCCAGACACCCAAAAACATTAAAATAAAATATTTTTTTTTTCAAATTAAATAAAGATTTACATACT